AAAATAAAATAAAATAAAATAAAATAAAATAAAATAAAATAAAATAAAATAAAATAAAATAAAATAAGTAAAGTAAAGTAAAGTAAAGTAAAGTAAAGTAAAGTAAAGTAAAAGCACACCCAAATGCTACACTGGCTTGTTTTTTCCATCACTGTCCTCCTCTCCCTTTTGTCTCAGTGGGGGTTTCAAGGCATCTTTCATTCAGCAGTATAGTCTGAGTTGTACATTTCTGCTAAAAGATGAACATAGAATATAGCAACATTGTAAACGTACCCTGCCCAAGGTTACAACTAACTCCAGGTGATCCTGACAAATGTGTGCTTATCTGGCTTCCAAAAATGATCCATCATTGCTTTTCTAAAGACATTGTCAAGTCAAAGTCAGCTCCTGATTACACCCACACACTTCTCCTGGCGGTGTCATGGAAGGGATTCGCCCCTCGCCTTCCAGAATGATTTTCAACTTCCGAGTCTAGCCTCTTGATCACCGTCTTGTATTCCACCTGCCACAAAAAGGTGACACTACCTGCCTCCTGGAAAAGTCAGGCAATCCTTTCCCTTAGCAGTTATGGCCAAATCATTCTCTCGCCTTAGTTGCTGCTTCACCCCTACCAGCTTAAGCAGTCCAAGAGCCTGCAAGCTGAAGATATGGGAAAATGCAGCATCTGCCATAAAAAGAAAGAACTCAATGCATCTTTCAAAAAAAGATTGTAACACATTCCATTAGATGAAGGAACAGCAGGAATCCCCTTTGCCAAATTAAGTAGGAACCCATTAGAAAGTGAGTCATCAGAATGAGTCTCCTTGGTACCAAACACTACCTGAATCTAATCCCTGTTCAAACATTCCATATTCAAATATGGAAACTGGCAAGGGGAAGAAAGTACAAATAGCTTTAAGGAGAACTACTGACTGTATAACATTAAACCAAGATATTAACCATGGTTTGCTGAGCAAGTCATATTCAGGCAAACCAAATGATAGCAGCTTATTTGACCAAGGTCTTCTACCACACAACTTAAGTTGTATCAAAATCCTAGCGTAAATATAGATTTCCATATGTGATTGTGCAAGTGTTTTCTCTATTGATATCATGATTTTTACCTGTTATCTTCAGAGTGCTTTCTATATGAGTGGGATGCTTAACCATGTTGGTTAGCTGTGATGAGTGCTTCCTCAAAGGAAGGATTTAAACTGAATAAATGATTTATTATTCTACTTTATATTTGTGCTCCATTTATTCCTTCTAGAGACTGAAAGAAAAAATCGAGAAAAGTCAAATCAGAAACCTTTTTAAGCCAAAAATTAGCCACTGCTTTTGTAAAACAAGTTTAGACTTAAATTGAAAACTTTACTCAGCTGTAATATCCCACACAGGTATTTGGATAAATAAGTTGCTTTATCTCAAGCCCACTATCCATAACAGAGCAATAATAAATTAATTAAAAATTGTAAAGCAATTTGTAGATCATATTGATATATAATATTAAACATATTTATGATCTCCAAGCTCTTTAGAAAGGACAGCCTTTCCTGAACATTCATAGCATTTAAGACTGCCAGCAACCTGCCATTCACCTCTTTACGCTACTGCTTCAGTGCATCTTCTTTTAAATCACAGTTTAAATCACAAAAAATATATAAGTCTTTTCATTTTACCTCACCTTCAGTAGAAGCAATACCATATGTGCATGTTAAAAAGAAAGATAAAATCCATACCTAAAAATATTTGGATGAATGTAGGTCATAGTTTAAAAAAAAAAACTGACTACAACTCCCAGAAAGCCCAGCCATGCCTGTTACCCTCTAGAGCTTCCACCGAAGCTCCCCAAAATTCCATAATCAATGCAGCTGCTAATAGTTTTAAATGTCTTGTTATCTATGTTCAATGACAAACTCCTGCACTTTGCCTCAATGGCTCCTTCTGAGTTCCCAGCTCAGTAAGAGAACTCACACTTCACCCAAGTATCATTCCATTGCCTTCCTTTGTGACTTTCAAACACATCACCTACACCCAAGATACAAGGGGCGCAGCAGAGGGAAGCCACAGTTATTTTTGCCAACAGAGGGCAAGTCATTGAACACCCTGGCAAAAATAAGTAGATAAATTTCTTGTGGGAGCTTTTCAAACCTCAAAAGTATTGCCCAGTTGTATCGTTGCCAGCTTATTCTTATATAAAAGTACTTGTTAACCCAGCTATCACTTCGGGGGAGTTGGTCAAATTAATAAAATAGTGGCTAAAAGAAAAGCTGGCACTATACTTCCAGCATGCTGAAAATTAACTAGTTGCCACTGCTTGCAAGGGGTTATTAGGAGCCAAAACGTAGCTGGACTGGACAGCAATCAGCCATTTTCCAGAGGGACTCCAGAATCAAATTGTTTCAAACAAAGTTTTAGATCAAGTTTTCTAGACCCCTGAAATCTCAGACTAAGAATCATTAATTCACAAAAACCAGATTTTATCAAGCTCTAGTATTTTAATACTACAGAAAGAGAGGAAGAGGTCAGTTTACACTATTTTTTTTAATGATATCCTCCCCAGCAAGTTTTCAGAGATAAGGAAATATCACAAGTTGTTGAGAGGGATCCAGACAGACTTACTGCATGTTCCTTTCTGCCTGAATACAGAATACAGTCTCTTTTCCATTATTTTTTATTGGAAATTATTTAGTAATAATTTCTAAAGGGGTAGCCATATTTCTTGATCACAGCAAAAATACACTTGCCATAAAATTCTTCGCTAATGACTCTTTACACCTTTGAGAAAAATTGTAGCCACAGAAAAAGCATAAGTTGCCTTATATCCTGTTGTGCTATAGGTCCATCTACTTTAGAATTGTCTACAAGTGACCAGTAGTCAAAATGTCTTCTCCACCAAGGGCTTTCCTTATCAAACTTGCTATGGTTTTTGGAGTAGCCACAGACCAAAGTGAACTGGCTTTTCCAAAGAAGTATCCTGCTCTTCCTTGAGTAGCAAATACAACAAGCAGAGTACTTTAAATCTTTGATGACTCAATTTGCACCAACCATTGTTTTCTGTTCAACTTTCTTATTCTTCAGTTTTACATGAGATGTAAAACCAAGATCAACTAATTTTATTAGAGCTCCGAAAATTACTTCTGAGTCCCAAACCATGAGGAAAGCAGCAAGTACTATAAATAATTAGAGTAATTATTTATTTATTGGGCGTATAGGCTGTTCCAGTCTGCTGACTCTGTGTGGCATACAATTCCCCAGTACATTTGGGATTAAAACCATACAATCAGTTAAAAACAGCAACTAGAAATATTCCTGTGGAACCGGAAGTCATGAATAGTAACATTAACAATAATAAAAGGAAATCCAAACTCACAACCCTTGGGCTTGGTGAAATAACTAGGTTTTTACCAGCTTCCTAAAAGCCAGAAAGGAAGGGGCACATCATCTATCAGGTGCATGCTTTTCCAGAAGGGGGGCTAGTGACTGAAAAGGCATGCTTACATGGTCCCTGAAGGTAACAATTTGAGGGGACACTGCTAAAGATGCTGATCAGTGCTATCACTTCTATCTCCATAGAGAACCAAATAATGTTTCCACCAGGGCTCTCTGCTACTTTCTCCACAACCGAAAGGGGAAGTTGAAAACAGATCAACAATTGTCCAGCAAATCTAGGTTAAGCAATGGCCTCTTAAGAAAAGGGTGCCTCACCGCCACTTTCCAAGAAGGGGGCTACATGCCCTCTCCTAAGGACGCACTTACCACTGCCGTGACCCAGCTCCCTCTCACCTCCCTGGAGGCCTTCGCCAACCAGGAAGAGCAGAGATTCAGACTGCAGATGGCTGAGCCGATACTGCGGGGGACCCTGTCCACTTCCTCAGGTCTCATAAGATCAAATGCATCCCAAATAACATCACGGGATGGAGCCCCAGCCACCTGCTGAAGACTTGCCCAGCAGGTGTCAAGCCCTATACGTATCTGAGTGCTCAAGATGTCTGGAAAATTCCTCACAGTGGCCCCTTAGATGGTCTTCCTGCCCATCTTTATCCAGCAGGGTATGGGTCACTTTGAAAAGAATCACTGAACCAGAATCTGTGCATGCAGTAGGAGTGGAGAAACAGTGATATTTTGCCAGTCTTATTGCCACAGCATAGGTCCGAGTATGGGCTCTTATCTATCTATCTATCTAATTTACATTTCAAATTTAATCACCACCCATCTCACTCAGAGTGACTTTGGGCAGTTTACAATAATTCATAATAAATACAGATTAAAATACAAATTAAAATAAAATTATCTGTTATTGATTAGATTTACCCTATGCCACTGGTACTCTAGGCATGGCAGTCCCCAGGTTAAGAACATCTGCCTTACAGACAATTCATACTTATGAACGGATTGCCATAAAGCCTATTATATTAAATAAAATGGTTCGTAATAACAAACACACACACTACTTTGTGATGCTTATGAAAACACTGCATAGCTTCTGTGGTTTGTCGGCTCAAGAACACCATCTGCCATTTTAAGTTGGATCACATAAGTTTTTCTCTTATTTACCCTTTACGTATGTACCTGTTCTGACCTACCTACAAATCTGACTTAAAGACA